TTTGTATTTTTTTGTTACTGAGATTAAGGGATGCAACGGGGATCGATTGATGGGGAATTTAATTCTCCATCACACCCTCTGTGTTTCATTCCTTAATATTAATTAGCCAGCAAATGAATCACCTGAAAAACATTAAGAACATGCTGAGGACGAGGAGGACACACATTCCACTCCGAAACTATCCCTGTGACAGTGGGACTGCTACTGCCGAGTTATCCGCACGGGCAGTTCGCCCAGCCGTCAGATTCGACCGTGGCGGCATCCCTCCATTGCGGTCGAACTACTTTTGGCTTGGGGTCAGTCCAACCCCGAGATCTGAGCCTCTACTTTAGTCAATCCTCTTTGGCTGTAACAAAGCACTCCGAGGGGAAAAGTTCCCCGGCCATAGAAAAAAATGTAGTATCAAAATGGACTGTTGTTGTACGGGTTCATTGCATTTAAGGAATGATGACGAAAGGCGAAAGAAGAATTGTATAACATTGCGCTTGAATGACTCGTAAATCCTATCAAAAACAATAAAACGACAATGCTAATCTCCTCAATCCAATAACTCCCGAAAACAAACCCACGCGTTATCGGACAAACTGTTTGATTGATGGCCGGTAATGTGAGAATCGTTACTACTTTTAGAGTCTCAACCCTGTCAGCAAATTCAAAAAATTCTACGTGTTCAAGTAAAATACTGAATTAAATCATAAATAAAAATATTTAAAATATTTTTAAGATTTAGTGAATCAATGAAGATAAATCTTACTTGTTAGGGAAATTCGCAATAACTATTTCAAGATTATCTCGCAATTCTAGAAATTTCTTGATTTATGTCTCGGGAAATTAATATCTACTTCATTCTCACTCAATTTTTTGACACGTGTCATAATTAACATCAAGACTTTATCTTCAGAAATTCAAATCCCTACATTCTGATGACACAATATCAGTGTTACCAGATCGTGACGTCACCCCATTTAAAATTGTACACGTTTTGGCTATAAACCGCCAAAATCTGGCAACCCTGCACAATATTAGAGCGTTTTTCTTGACGTGGTTTTTCTCCAACTTATCTGAGTGAGTTTCTTCAAAATTACTTGTTTTTTTTATCACGTTTTTCTTTCAACTGGCTAACCTTTGGTTTTGTGCGCCGTGTTTCTTTGATTTGGTTTAGTCGATAAAATTAGTGACAACAAACAATGAAGCCGTCACTCATTTTACCAACTAAGCCAGATGCAAGAAACACGGCGCGCAAATTTGCTTAAACCAAAGGTTAGTCAGCGAAAGAAAAACGCCATTAATGTTTACATGTTTCTTGAAACCTGGATTAATCTCCAAAACAATTGAACTCTAACAGGCGAGGGGGGTGAAGGGCTAGAGGTTAATTCAGGTTTCAAGAAACGTGTAATAAACATTAAAGACAAAAAAAGTAGTTTTGAAGCAACACACTCAGATAAGTTGGAGAAAAACCACGTCAAGAAAAGCGCTATGAGAACATGAAAACACAAAATGTACAAAACTCAGTGCGAGATTGGTGGATTTTTGTTCTTGTGAATTCCACATGTTCGAAATTATATCTGTCGAATTGCACACAATAAATTGAATATTTACAAGACGGAATTGTCCAATATCAAATTCAAAATGTGTAATTGGGTTGTCATTTCAATTTAGTGTAATTCAATATA